CCTATCCCCTTTCATCCTCTTAGCCCTCTACACCATAGCCCAACACCTCCTCAACCGGCCCAATAACCTCCCCCCAAGCCCAGGCCCAGCCCTCCCCTTCGTGGGCCACGCCTATTTGCTCCGGCGGCCCTTCCACCGGAGCCTCTCCAAACTTGCTAGGCGCTACGGCCCGGCCCTCTTCCTCCGCCTTGGAGCCCGGCCCGTTCTCCTCATCTCTTCCCCCTCTCTAGCCGAAGAATGCCTAACCAAGAAAAACGACGTGATTTTCGCCAATCGGCCGGATTTCCTAAACGGGAAGTATTTCGGGTACAACTACACGAGCCTCTCTTGGTCGTCCTACGGCGAGCATTGGAGGAACTTGAGGAGGATCTCTTCACTCGAGCTACTTTCTTCGCATAGGGTTAATGGGCTGGCCCATATTCGGGCCCACGAGACTCTAAGCCTCGTCCGGAAGCTCTTCCACATCACTATGAACGAGCCCGGACGAGTCTTGGAGGTCAAGTCGACCCTTTTCGAGTTCATGTTCAATGTCATGACTAGGATGATCACGGGCAAAAGGTATCTAAATTAGTCGATTAATTTGTTGTACTTTTTATCGGTAAATTTAAATTTATAGATTAAAACTGAGTTAATGCATACTGTTACAGTAAATACACAATTTATACACAGTAACTAGAAAAACGAACATGTTCGACTAGGTACTATGGGAAGGACGTGGAGAACTCGAAAGAGGCGAAGTTGTTTGAGGAGATAGCTAGGGACACGTCTAGAATGGCTTTCGAGACTAATTTGGTCGATTTTTTGCCGTTTATGAAGTGGTTCGGGTTCAAAGATGTGGTGAGCAAGATGATTACCATACAAGAAAAGAGGGACCGATTCATGCAGAAAGTTATAGACGACAACCGGAAAATATCGCCGGAAAATGATTGTTCGCAGGATGTCGGGAGGAAGAAAACGGTGGTCGAGGTTTTGCTCGACTTACAAACATCTGAACCTGCATACTACACAGATGAAACCATCAAAAGTCTCCTCTTGGTAATTAAGAATTCATTTTTTTTTTTTAATTTTGATAAATGAATAAAATTTCAGTAGCTCTATACACTGTCTAACGGTTAGACAATTATACTGTTACAATTAATTATATATATTCACAATATAAATATAAATTTTTGTAATAAAAATGTGGTTAGATGATGATTAAACAACCTAACAACAATATTTGTAGGAACAATTACTGCTTTTGTGAGTTGATTATGACCCAAAAAAATTGGCTGTTAGAAGATAATTAGCTAGGTTCAGTTCATTTCGTTGTGATGTCAAAATTTGAGTACAATTATTTGTTGCTAGTTGCTATTCATTATTAAGATAAGGATGCATCTAAATTATTTGGCTTGCATTATTGACTAACATTTCTCCATTTTTAGAAACTTCTCTGTATGATTACGTCTATTTATTGACACTACGCAGACAGGACTTTAATGTGAAGCCAGATTGTTACTATCCAATTTGACATACATCACCATCTTCTTGCATCATTTTTGTTAGTGCTTTTAAGTTTAATAATAAATAAACTAATTAGAAGTCGTTTTCAAGAAATGGGTTTTTTTTTCTTTTTATCTCTAGACAGGCCTAAGAAAACTACGGTTGAAATAATTATTACAAAAATATATTAGAGTTAATTGTGGGTTTGGCAAACACTCCAAATTAGTTTCAACTTATTTAATTAGATTATATAAAAATTAGTTTATAACTTATTTAATTAGATTATATAAGTATATTGTATTCAATCAAATTTGATTTGCTAACTTTTTTTAAAAATAACAATCTTTATCAAATAAGCTTATATATGTTTTTTTTTTAAATAGAGAATTTATAGCTAATTTTATCGAACACTTTTTTTATATCCATATTTGATATTTTCAAATGTCGACAATTGTGAAGATGCAATTAACATATCACTATTAGTTGCCTTTTTTTCAAATAAATTTCTTCCAAATTCTTATCACATTGTTAAGAAAGGCTATTTTAACTTTCAGATCGGACATATCCTATTTCAATTTAATCTTCATATCACACCTATTAATCATTGTTTTGATTAATGAGATTATGCATGTATTAATAAGTAACAATGAAAAAATATGAGGCAATCATCAAAGTTTCAAACTTAGTTTATTAAAAAAAATCTTTTAAGAAAAAGTCAAAATTAACTTTTCAGGTCTTACTCCAAGGAGGATCATCAACATCAACCATCGCCCTCGAATGGGCCTTCACCCTTCTGCTCGAAAACCCAGAAACCCTCATAAAGGCCCAATCCGAAATCGACGCCCACGTGGGCCACGGCCGCCTCATCTCCGAATCCGACGTGGCGGCGCTGCCGTACCTCCGCCACGTCGTCCTCGAAACGCTCCGCCTCCACCCGCCGGTGTCGATGCTGATGCCCCACCGCTCCTCAGCCGAGTGCGCCGTCGGCAGGCACAGGGTTCCGGCGGGGACCATCCTGTTGGTCAACATATGGGAGATCCACCACAGCCCAAATGTGTGGGCCGACCCGGAGAGGTTCAGGCCCGAGAGGTTCGAGCCGTTAGACGGGAAGAAAGAGTTAGGCTTCAAGTTTTTCCCGTTTGGGTCGGGGAGGCGGGCCTGCCCAGGTGAGAATTTGGGCCTTTTAACACTTGGGCTGGGGCTGGGCTCGTTGATCCAGTGCTTCAATTGGGAAAAGGTTGGGGAGATTGATATGAGTGAAGGGGCAGGGACCACGACGCCCAAGGTCCAACCTTTGATGGCTAAGTGTAGCCCACGTCCGTTTATAACTAATTTTCTGTCTTGATTTTGATTTTTTTTTCATATTATATTGTTGTGAGGTAAAAATGGAATATTTTGGTGACAATTTTTTTTTTAAATATTATAATATTAATTTAATAGCCAATGGGAGGGTTGTAACATAAACAAAAAAAATTCGGTTTGATTCGGGATTCGAATTCAGTGTTCGTGAAATTCAAATTCGAATTTGAATAAGAATAAGTAGTATTTTGTGGTCGAGATTATCAAAATCTGATTATACACATACTTGATTTGAAATTCAAATATTCGATCGGTTAATAATAATTATATAAAATATAAATCTATATATGTAATATATATATGTTTACAGATAAGGCGTTCGTGGTTGGCCGCAATTTTTGGGTCTGGAGTTCGGTTTGCAGCTCTGTTGGGATTCGGTGTTGTGGGGTGTGGCTCGTGCGTCCGTTTGGGTAGTCGTGCGGTTAGCCTGCTAGGTGTAGGGAGGTCTTATTTTATTTATTTATTAGGTGTGTGTTGGTTTTGTTTTTCTTTATTTTCCATTTTATTAGTCCAGTTGTATCTGACTTTTAGTTTCCTATATGGAGTTTGGGTATCCTTTGTGGTGTTTTATTTTGTGGATGTTTGTATCTCTTTGATTGAGTTTGTACTCAATTGGTCACCTGTGTATTTCCAAATGGGTTAGTCCAGACTTTATTCTGGTTTCAATTGTATCTTTTGACACATCGATTATACTCTTTCGAATTTTTAATTATTAATATATTTATCGTTTGATAAAAAATTAGAATATTGAAATTTCCTACTGCAAACTTTTGAAATCGGTCATTGCTGGACATACTTTTCAACGTTGATTGTCTCATAGTACTTATTACTTTAACTACAGATGGTGAAAATGGGCGTAATTTCTAGGTCATAAATTGAATTGAATTGGGCTTTGGACAGACTTTAGATAGTGGTTATCATCATATTATTTAACTTGAAAACTTGTTAGTTGTAAGCAAGATGGAAGGAAATACAGGTAAAACGTCATACTATACAAAATAAAATAAATAAAAATATATAATTTCATAATATAATTATACATTTTATGTTTGTCATTGAGACAAAATTAACAATTAGACAATCATACATTTTTCACAAACATACAAATACTTTAAAAACTAAATGTCATACTTTGTAATATAATGTAGACAAAAATATGACTAATTAAATATTCATTCTTTTGTGAAAAATATAAAATAAATTGACTTGTGCAGAATTTAGATAATCGGGGCAAGAGGGTGCAGTTTCACGCAGGTGAAGTGCACCATGAGAAGGTGGGCCTAGCAGGTGAAGTGCACCATGAGAAGGTGGGCCTAGATGTACCTTAGTGAGTTTTCATCCCAAAATCAATTGGTGATTGGAGGAGTAGCTCACTAGACATATAAGCTAGGCCCAATTTCCCTATAGAATCAATGTGAGACAATTCACAAGTGATACTCCAACAACTTGTCTAGGAGTTAAACTCAACTCATACAAAAAAATATGTGTATTTAATATAAGAGGCCGACCGGTTAAATGGTGTAACAACATGGTTTGTGGAGATATTGCAATTGACCAAATAAATTGAATGCATTAATGCCCTAATTATCTGAATTTGGGTTCTTTTGGTAGGACATGAATGATCAAGTTCATGGCGGTTGAATGAATGGAAAATTTTGGTTAAGAGCAATAAAACAAAATACTTAAATGCAGTCCACTTTGGATAAGGGACATAACTAAGCTCATTAATGATACTTAGAACTTGCTTGGATACAAATGTATTCGCTAAAAATGATTTTTTTTGTTAATTATGATTAATTTTAAAAAGTTTGTATAGTAGTTGTTAGTGAAATTTTAAATTTATATTAAAATAATATGTAAAATAAATTAATGAAAGTCGATTTGATGTAATATCAAATGAAAGATGAAGTGAAGTGATAATTAGTTAAAATTATTTGAGTGAGTGGATAGTAAATAAAAGTTGATGTGACGTATAAGAATTAATGTTTGATATTGTTTAACTATATTGACAATATCTATAGGGGGTGTCTATATGTACACCCCCTAAATTTCTAATTGTACACCCCTCTCTAATTATCCTTTAATTACTTTAATCATTACTAAATCATTACGTGATGTGACTTTTAAATTATTATATGATTTGACTATTAGTTATTAAATGATTTCAAAATCATTACATGATTTAACAATTATTTTTAAAATAAATAAAAATAAAGGCATGATTTGACCAATATTATAAATAAATACATTTTTTTTTTTGTATTATTACAATTGTAGACGATCCTTATACATTTGTCTCCATTCTTTCATACAGACACTTTTATACGGAGAAACTTTGGGCATTGGATGTCCATTTTGCAAATCCACTTTCACAAAATGATTTCCATGAACAAATGCAATTGCTATGGATTGATTTAGTTCTGGAGCTTGTGGACTTGTCCAAAGCGGAAAGAATGTGTAACTACCTGCATCTGTTAAAAAATAAAAAATGCAGTTGTACTTGTTCGCGATCACGAGACCAGTTTCGGGCATTTTTATCCAATGCTCAATCGGTGCAAATCCAATGCCTTGAAATTTGAAGGAGTGTTCCACAACCTTATAATAATCACCAAAAAAAATTTTATAGTGTTTTTTATTGATATGCAATTCCTGCAATAATTCATGACGAATCGATGGCCAATCATGTTGATCTCGACCAATAGCAACAGCTACTGACCGAAAACCACAATTTCCATCGCCTTCAACATCTTCAATCCCGATGACATATGGTTGAAAGAAAGATGGAATTTCATGAATCAGTGGATGTGTATACCGTGTCGGTTCCTAAAAAAAAATATAAGATAAAAGAAATTTTAATTGACAACTAGATTGTATCTTTTTATAAAAAAATAAAGTATAAAATAACAATACCTCCATTATTGGCTGCTGATAATAATATTCGTTTTGTTGTGGCAGTTCGTAATGATCATAACCATATTGAGTTGATGGTGCCGGGTCTTGATAAACAAAGTTCTGCTCGGACATAGGTGGCAGATCATTCAAATCAAAAGAAAAAGGCATATATGAGCTACACTGTGGTGGATCAACCTTGGGTGGCAGATCGCGGTAGACATATTCACTGTGTCGTGGTGGCTCGTTCAATTCAGACTGAACGGCTGGTCTATACGATGAACAACTATGTCTACGACTTTCATTAGGCAACACTTGTTTGTCCTTGCTGGATTTTGAACTTGGACGACCACAGATATTTTTGTGAACAGAAGGTTCACCAACAATATAGGTCGATGGTTCAAAAATCCCCCTAAGTTTTCTCAAAAATGAGACCTTCCCTGACTTTGGCTGATCTGCAAAACCTTTTTTGAACCTTTCAAGCTCAGCATCACAAGTTACATCATCCTCCTCCTCTACTGTAGGGTCAGGAATATCTAAAGTCCTCCAGAAGACATCAATTTCTTGTAATGGAATAAACAAGTCTTCTTTCATATAGAAGTTAAGTTCGTGCGCATATGGTAACCCACAACTTGTACGAAGTTGACACCCGCAAGTTTCAGCAGTAATTTCAACTACAGTGTCAAGTCGCTCTAGTTCCGTAAATATTTTTTTTAAACCATTTTTTGATACTTTTCCATGTAAAAATTTAAATTGACGTGAATTTTTCAACTTATGTGACAATTTTATTTTGCTTTTTTCTAATTTATCTTTAATAGATATGTATTGTAATTTTATTATATCTTCTATTGTTTCGACTATCTTATCTAACTTATTTTGTGACGAGTTCAACATACTTTTTAAGTAAGCATGTGAACTCTCAACCCTGTTGGTTGTATTATTATCAAATGTTAGATATTTATCACACCAAGCAGATACGAACCTCTCTTTGTACGGATCCAACCAAGTGTCATTTAAGTACGTGAGTACATGACCTGAAACTGTAAAAAAATATCGTTTCAAACCTACATGTAAAATAATTATACAAAAAATATGACATTTTAAAATAAAAGACAATAATTCTATGATGTGTATACCTTGGTTGTCATACAAAAATTGTTGTAGCCGAATATAATTAGTCGAATATATTTCCACTGTTGGAGATTTTATCAACACATCCCATCTGTGGTTGAATGAATTCCAACCTTGTAAATTAAAACAAGGTCTGCAATTCTTTAAAATACTCTGCGAAATATGCCACCTGCACAACAATCTGTTGGAATCCGGAAACACGATCGTGCATGCATTCATTAGAGCTAACTCTCGGTCCGTAACAATGACATTTGGATAAATATTCTCTTTCAACCTCAACTTTAGCTGATTCAACGCCCAAACGTAATTTGATATTTTTTCTTGATTCATGATGGCGAAACCAATACAAAATGTACTATTGGTTGAAGTCACGCCAACCATTTCTAACAGTGGCATATTGTATCTGTAAACATTTGGATAAACATAATATAAGAATTTATTTTATAAATATTAAATATTTTTATGGATAAAAAACAGATAAAAGAAAATTACCTGTTTGTCTTGTACGTGGCATCGATCAGTAAAACTTGCGGAAATGACCGCCAAATCGCCAAAGATGTTGGATGACAAAAAAATAAATCTTCCAATTCATTGGTTTCTCGGTTTTTATTAAGCTCGTAAATAAAACTTTTATCCTCCAAAGTGATCAAAAGAACCTCCATTGGGGTTTTACCAGCATACATGGACGTTCTTATCTTGTGTCTTTCATTATAAATATTTTTTAAGGAGGAAAAATTATTTTCATTTCGAGCTCGTATTATACCGAGAATATCACGTGGGCTAACATGAGCTCTGGTCAATTCTGCCACCAACTTTTTTTCTTCTGCATTTAAACGCATCGCAAACGGATGTCCTTCAAAATTTGTAGCATTTGCATGAGTGTGTATGCCACAAACTACTTCTAACTTCCAAGATTTAACCAAATTATTTTCACGCGAAGCAACTAGCTCGAAAGGACAACCGATTTTTTTTGATGCGGTGTCTTTACTAGAACCAATATCTTTATACTCACCGCCACGGTCGCACCGCAACCACATTTTTCTTAATTCATTTTTTCTCGAAAACTTTGAACGTTTTTTTATAACAACAACACCAAGAGATTTAGCGACATTGTTAACCCAATTCAACAATTCTTCAGAAGTAGCAAAATCCTACAAAAAAAAATTAGCATAGTCATTTAATATTAAAAATTCTATTACTGTAAATATAAAATATATTTATAAAATTATTAACAAAAGTACCTCTTCAACGGTAAATTCTGCCGTGTTATCAATAACAAAGTCATCGGATCTTGACATCTTCAAATAAATGATATATATAAAACCGTAATGTGTATATGAAATTTATGAAATTTTTAGGAGTGTGCATATTTGAGCTCATATATTGAAGGCTATATATAGAATATAAAGGGGTGTATAATAATGAAAGCATAGAAAAAATATGAAAGCATCATAGAAAATGGTTGTCATACAAAAATTGTTGTCATACAAAAATTGTTGTATAATAATGAAAGCATAGAAAAAATATGATATGACAATAGGGGGGGTGTATAATTGGTAATTTGTGGGTCATATCATTAAAAAATAAATAAAAAGATGATGTGACAATAGGGGGGTGTATAATTGGAAGTGTGAGTCATGTCACTAAAAAAATAAAAAAGTTGATTTGACAATAGGGGGTGTATAATTAGAAATGAGTGGTCATGTCACTAAAAAAAAAGGTGATGTGACAAGAGGAGTGTATATTTAGTAATTGGGGGGGTGTACATTTAGTAATTTAAATAATTATACAATATTTTATCAATTAATTAAGAAGGGGGGTGTACAACCTATCTATATCTATAGTAATATAAAGAAGTTGTTGAAAAATATTTTTATAGTAAGTTTGACTAAGAAAATAAATGATTTGACTTGCTATTAATGGAAATTTAAAAAAAAAACACATGTACCAAAAAAATTGAGATTTTTATGGTAACAAATTTGGAGATTTTTATGGTAACAAATTCAATTGAGTATCCCAAAAAAATTGGAGATTTTTATGGTAACAAATTTGGTGATTCCTATACCAAAATTTAATTCATTTTAAATATTAATCCATATCTATTTTTATTGGTAACAAATTTGAAGATTGTTATGCCAAAAAATTGAGATTTTGAATTGAGATATTCCAACAATTACGGATTTTTTTCCATTCAAATTAATGTTGTAAACAAACAAAAAATTATTCCAAAAATAATGGATGTTATACCAACTATTGATAAACTTCAATCCCATAGGAGATTTCTATGGGATTCTTATGGTAACAAATTGGAGATTCTTATGCCAAAAAATTGAGATTTTGAATTGAGATATCCTAACACTTTCGGATTTTTTCCCCTTCAAATTCATGTTGTAAATCAAACAAAAAATTATTCCAAGAAATTGATAAACTCCAATCCATAGGAGATTTTTATGGGTTTCTTATGGTAACAAATTGAAGATTCTTATGGTAACAAATTTGGAAATTCTTAAACCAAAATTTAATTCATTTTAAATATTAATCTCATAGGAATCTATTTTTATTGGTAACAAACTTGAAGATTCTTATGCCAAAAAATTGAAATTTTGAATTGAGATATTTCAACAATTACGGATTTTTTTTTCATTCAAATTAATGTTGTAAATCAAACAAAAAATTATTCCGAGATAATGGATGCTATACTAAATTAATATCACTGGGCCCACACGTTATTATGATATTAATTAGATAGATAAATTACGTAAATCTTTTCTAACAAAATGCGTCCCAATATTGTTAACCAATTTAATGAGATTTTGTTAACTAATTTGATAGGATTTTGGTAACCAAGAGATTTTGTTAGCTTTTCATGGAAACACGTATCTTCATTGTTGATAAGGTTTGATAAAATTTTGTTTCCAACTTTTTTTTTCCCTTCTCGAAAATTTGATAAGGTTTGATAAGATTTTGTTTTTTTTTTTATCTCTCTCTCGAAAATTTGAGTTGTGGATTTGAAAAAAAATAAATAAATAAAATAAACATATCATATTGATAAAGTTTTAGTGTGGGCATAAAAATCAATTTTGATTTGATTGAACTTTGTTTCATATAAACCTAAGAGAATCAGACGTTTGAAAAAATAAAATATTAATAGTAAATAATCATACCATATTTGTAAGGTTTGATTTGGAATATTGAGGCATAAAAATCAATTATGATTTGATCACATTTTGTTTTATAGAAGTTATCTTATAAAATTTTACACATTTCAAAAAATTAAAGATTATAATTTCGTAAATTAAAGTTTTGGATTTGTCCAAATAAATAGGAAAATATAAAAATAAAAATATTATTTTTCAATCTATCCAAAAAGTCTTACCAAATTTCATTGTAACAAACTCGATTATTTTTTGCTACATAATCTTCTAAATATTCGTTCGTCCCTCACAAGTGAATCACGTTCCACATTTTTTTTTTTTAATAAAACCGATAACACATATTTTTAGAAGTCAATCATAATCATAATAAAAAAAACGGATCGGATCATATTAAATACCTTACATAAATATTTTTTTTATTTCCCAGACATATGTCACATACATATGACTATATAAACATCACCAACGTTGAACAAAAAGTATTCGACATCCAATATCCCACAAAATAATTTTTTCTACAAGTTTTTACATCACCATTGAAAATAGCTTCGGATTTTGGAGTAATCAAGGATATTAAAAGATCTAATAAGCCACCAATCAAGCTACGCATAATTAGGATGTTCCAACGAGTTGAATACGTACGCAATTACCGAAATGTTCATGAGATTATCTTTCATGATTTTGAGATAATATATTCATTTAGTATTATTTAAATGCATCATTTTATGCAACATCTTTTGTAATTTATTTATTGAATTATTCATTACACAATGTTTTAGGGAGGACAAATTACTGGCATAATTCGACCTGTCAATATCCAAAAAATCATCGGTGATATTGAAGAAGGTGGCGCTTATATGACAAACTATCAAGTGGAAAGCAATATTGACATCCATAAATCGCCGATAGGAAAAGGAGGATCATTATCAATGGCCAAACCAAGATTATCAAATGGAGGGGTGATTTTCTTATCTCTAACTTTAATGGATGCTCGTAACATTGATGAAGTCATGTTGTTTGGTACGTTATAATTTTTTTGTTTATTTCTTATTTCGTTTTTTTTTTTAATTTAAAATTTGTAATAAACTATTTTATATGTTATACATTTCAATATGATGCATTTTCTTATATTTTTTAGATGTTATTGGTTGATTGTTTCCCATTATGTTTTCTTACGCCATTACTATAAATAAGAGACAGGAACAATCATTATCGCATGTGAGCTTATTTCTTAAGAAACCAGTGTTTATTCATGGCCAATTGTATGTTACTGTCTTCTGTGTCACAAACAGAAATGGATTAGAAAGTCCTAATTTGTGGCGACAATGACGTGCCAAAGAATCAAACCATGAACGTTGTATATAAGGAAGTGTTCAATAATATATAGATTTTATTATCATTGTAATTATTAATTTATTTATTATTAATGACATGATCTTTCATTTAGTAAGTACTTTGAATTTTAACTGAACATTGCTTTATAAAAGGGACGGAAATAATAAACTCCCGTGCATCGCACGGGGACTGTACTAGTATATTGAAAAAGGTTGATGGTAAATTCATTTTTAGAAAGCTAAAATAAATGAGTCAAAACTTTGACTTACCTCTTTTGGAAATCAATTTAAAAATCTGAAATTTGTTTGGTTTTCAAACAGTTCGATTTTTTCGTTTTTAATTGTTAATATGGAAGAAAAAAACATCCCATATTTTAGGTCACAAAAAATCTGTTCACACAAAAAAAATTAGACAATCAAAATTCTGTTCACACTCACACGTTTCCAACAACACTAATATACAACTATTTCCTGATTTGTCAATTCTCTTTCAAAACAATTTGGTTTGCACTAAAAAAAAATTCCAATTCACTTACAAAATTGCTTGCTTTATTAGCTATATTTTATTCTATTAATCAGTGTGCACGGAATAATGCTTAAAAATATATTTTCTAATTAATACTTTTTCACAATTACATAATTAATGTTATCGAATAAATGCTTTAGTTTAAAAAAATATTATTTTTTTAACTATTGCATTCCAATTGAATTCCTTTTTAGTTTAAGAAAATAAATACAAAGATTAACAATTTTAACAACAACAACAACAGCAGCATAGCCTTTAGTCCCAAGCAAGTCGGGGTAGGCTAGAGATGAAACCCAAGAGAAACACAAAAAGACTCGAACCGAAAGGAATAAAAAAAAAAAAAGAGAGAGAGAGAGAGAAAGGAGCAAAAGTCACGGTTCTGGCACGTTGATAGCGAGCCTCCAAGCGCTCCTATCCACCGCTTAATCCTTGGAAATATTCCAATCTTTAAGGTCTCTCTTAACCGACTCTTCCCAAGTGAGTTTAGGCCGACCTCTACCTCTCTTAACATCCTCGACCCACTGTAGAACTCTCCTACACACCGGTGCATCAGGAGGCCTCCGTTGGACATGTCCGAACCACCTCAGCCGATGTTGAACCAATTTCTCCTCAATTGGAGCCACCCCGACCCTATCTCGAATATCCTCATTTCAGATTCTATCCCTTCTTGTGTGCCCACAGAACCAACGCAACATACGCATCTCTGCTACACTTAGTTGTTGGACATGTTGTCTTTTTGTAGGCCAACATTCAGCACCGTATAGCATCGTCGGGCGAATCGCCGTCCTATAGAACTTACCTTTTAGCCTTTGTGGCACCCTCTTATCACAGAGAACGCCCGACGCATGACGTCATTTCAACCAACCGGCTGCAATTCTATGCCTAACATCAGCATCAATGCCGCCATCCTTTTGTAGCATCGATCCCAAATACCGGAAAGTCTCCTTCTTGGCCACCACTTGCCCGTCAAGGGTAACGTCACCACCATCATGTGAAGCCATGCTGAAAGCGCACGTCATGTACTCAGTCTTCGTCCTACTAAGTCTGAAGCCTTTCGACTCTAACGCATCCTTCCACAGCTCCAACTTCCTATTGACCCCTGCTCTACTCTCGTCAACTAGCACCACATCATCAGCAAAGAGCATACACCAAGGGATATCACCTTGTATGTCCTTGTGACCTCATTCATCACCAAGACAAATAGATAATGGCTCAATGTTGACCCCTGGTGTAGTCCTATTTTAATTGGGAAGTCGCTGGTGTCGCCCCCACATGTTCGGACACACGTCATCGCATCCTTGTACATATCTTTGATGAGGTTAATGTACTTA